CAAGTAATAACTTTTCTTTTTTAAGTGATCTGTTAATTAAAGTTTAAAAATTTTAAAATTAAAAACCTCTTATAAAAAATGACTTTGTGCACTATAGAAAGAATTTGCAATCTTTTGTAAGATTCATAAATTAGTTTTTTATTCAGTTCTTCTATGTTCAATTTTAATATTTTTAATTTGAACAAACCTATTATTCTAATCTATAAAACCAAGATTATAATTAATTGCAATCAAACATCATTACTAAAAACAAGGATTCCCAGATCCTACTTTGAATTATGATATTCAGTATCTTGTACAAAAATTAATAAAACAGATAGCAGTAAACTATGAACTAGCTTGGCCTCATGACCTTTTGTCCAGTACAGCCCTTAAGGAATTATATAACTAATCTTTATACAAAACTAGTAAATTAATATGGAAACATGCCTGTGCCTTAGTGACTTTAGAACTATGAACAATGTGACAACTGAGTGAATTATGCAATATACAAATTAATAACATAAGATTCATAAATGGAATATGTTGGGTTCAAATACACAAATTAAAAACAGACCAATTTGTATATGAAAAATTCATTCCTATTGATCTTATGAACTCCTTTTACTGTCTAGTTTGCTTATTTTATAAATATCTTCAATTGAGAAAATTAGATAATAACCAAATATTATTTGTAACAAGAGATAGAAAGCAGATAACAACAAGTAATATAAGTATAGTTATTAAAAAAGTTGTGCATAATGCAGATATAAATGGTAAATTTTCTGAGCATAGTCTGTGAATTGGTGGAGTAACAAAGACCATGAGGATGAAAGTAATACTACCACAAATTGTGAACATTGGTGAGTGACTATCTTAGTCTGTAGCACTTTACTTGTGATCAGTTTTAACAACAATACAGAGTACTTTGACATGAATGAGATTTTTTTTTAAAAAAAAATAAATAAATAAAGAAGAGTAGATTAGCTGTTAAAAAAAATTAAAATGATTCTCAATACTGCTCCTATATGTGTTTTCTAATTACAATAAATAGAATTAGAGATCTGAGTAAGAATAATGACCTTATATGATGAAAGTCATGTTAAGGTAATTATCATGAGGATCACTTGACCCTTGTATTCATATGAAATTTGTGTAATATATAATTATGTATATAAGTAATTCAGTGGTTATTGAGAGGGTTAGTGTTTTGTTTCTTCATTGCCTGATTTTTATCTGGCTTTTTAGCTGTTTTCCTACCTATCTGCCCATCTGCCCCTCCTCTTTCCAAAAAAAAAAATAAAGAAAGAAAAAAGTGGACACTTTATTGTGATGTGACTAGCATATGTCATACATTTAGGTGCGTAAGGACTTGCTCATTGACTCATTAAGGTGCTTGATGACCTGCCCCTAACCTCTAAGTTATAGTGTGCCATATCTTAATATACAGTTGATTAAGTGTTTTAACATTTAGTTGTTTTAGAAATTTGCATATAACTATATATGCAGCTACAGTATATCTTACATGTATCTGGTACTTATCTTTCTCTTATTGTCTAGTAATGGAATATATTTTATTAACCTTGGAGTTGTACTCAACCTTCGATTCTTAGCTGATCTTCATCTTATGCAACTAAATAGTTGAAACCAATACAGAAGAACATTATACAGATAGTACCAGTAATATATAAATGACAAATGTGATAAAATCGACACAAACAAAGGGCAAAGCACACTCCCATATGTGTTTTCTAATTACAATAAATAGAATTAGAGATCTGAGTAAGAATAATCGATGATTACGAATTTAATAATGATTTAACAATAAAGATTTGTTTTGAACTATGACTAGAATTCACACCTAGGGCTTTAGAATGTTATGATGAATTAGCTAAACAATGTATGGAGTCTGATCCAAAAGAAAGACCTATTGCTACATATATTAATGCATTAATTACTACTTGGATTGATGAATTTACGCATGAAAACAACAAAATAATTAATAATCAATTCTTCGAAGCTGATAAGATGGATAAAAAATTGGCAAGTAACATACAAAAGCATCCATATTATAACAAGCATACTTCAAAGTCCATTAACACACAAGAGATCATGAAAGCATTATTAAAATGATAATTGTCAGCATTGGATAGTGTGAGAAATTCCGGAAGAGTGAAAACATTGCGAATCAATTAATTAATATTGTGAGAATAAATCAAAATAAATTTATAAAAAATACTTTAAAACTTATAAATATGTACTCATAACCAGCGTTAACATGTTTTAAATTTATATAAAAAATACATGATTATATATAGTTCTGAATATTTTTTGCATAAAAAAATTTAAAATAGGCTGATTTTAAAATTGCGAATGACTCTATTTATTTATTCATTTGATAAATGTCCAAAAATATGTCCGAAGCTGTTTAAGACAACACTAATGTCCAATATCGAAAAAATTGACCGATTAGTCGGGTAAACGGTTATGTCAACAACCACTAATTCACGTATATAATGGATATGTTGATATATCGATATATGTACTGGATAAATATTGATGAAAAATTTTATTTAAAAAGATTCAATAATACATCTGAAAGCACAATTAACCAAATAAAAATTCGTAAACCCAAGACAAATACACAGTCAAACGCCAACTACAATTCCTAAAAGTTCACGATTGACGTTTCGTCAATTATCATCACGCCATTATCACTAACAATAATCGAAGAAGGTAATTAGAGACACGTGTTGTAGAACGATAAACGTCATAGTAATGCTGGTGTTGAACCAGTTCTTTATCTTTTAGTATGGTACCAAATAGGAAGACTGGGTCTATTGCTGTTATGAGGTCTATCAAAATCCTGAAAGTTTAGTTGAAGAAATGCGATTTTAATGATAACAAGAAATGTTATAAAGATAAAAGTAGAATTAAATTATGCTTCAGTGAAATCTTCCAAATTTGACTATAAAAGTAACGGTGAAGAATCCTCTTATTATAAAAAACATTTTATGCCTCTGCCAAACCTTCTTTTTTTTAAACCGTGCGCAAATAGGAACATATATATATATACTTTCAAAATCTGATATGTCCTCTATCAGCAGCAATATATGGGACCCGTAATAATGGGCCATAAAAAGTTTTTTTTTTCTTTTTATTTAATCAATTTCTTGAAGAATTAGGTTAATCAATTGTTATAAAATTACAAAATTAAAATTTTTGTCCTTTTGCTGTGGGAGTTCGCAACATAGGCTTGAACCAATGATAGTTAAATAACCTAATGCTGTAATGACAGATGACTAGTCATGAGGTCATTTTAAAGCCTAAATAACTTACATTGTCATTTTTTATAAAAGTTATCGAATTTATATTAAAGTTAAATTAAATTACCTAACGGTAATTAAAACTTTGAATAACTTTTTTTTTATTCATTCACTTTCGACTTTACATTTCCACAAAAATTTATAAATTTTGTCCTGTAAATGTAAACCCTTTAGTAAAATCCAAATCATTACGTAATCGGTGCTTTTGCTACTCAGCTTTATAAGAGTTTTTAAATGTTTAGCTAATTCAATGTAACGTTCTAAAGTCTCAGGTGCGAATTCCGGTCGCAATCCAAAACAATCTTTATTGTCAAATCTTTATTAAATTCGTAACCATTGAAAACTTCACCCGTAAGATCTCCCACATAATTATACCAAATGAATAGATATCTGCTGCTTGTGTAAATGGTTGACCTGATAAAACCTCTGGTGTAAAATTTCAATAGTTTCATTGTCATTTTTAGCAAGCGATGAAAGACCTAAATCCGTGATATATGCATTATCTAAATAACCTTGTAAGATGTTACCATTATGTAAATATTTGTGAATATGTCCGTGAACGAATAGCTTCAAGATCAGATAACATGCAACTTAATAAATTTAATTTCTTTTCCCATTTTATTTGCGATACTTTGCGAAGATTATTACGTAAAGAACCCTTTGTTGCATATTACAAAATAAGAATATCTCTCGATAGCCCGTAGCGATGGATTTTTATATCCGATTTCGCAAATTACTTTCAACTTTAGAAAAGAAAATATCAATTATATAATTTAAACATTAAATAAATTTACCTTATCAAAAAACTCTGATACCGTCCATTTATATTTCCACTTCGAGCAAATTTTTTGTACCATTGAAATGCTTTAGCATACCATTTAGATAATAAACTCCAAGATAATACTGTCCATTTATGCTTCCACCTTATGAAGATGCTTCCTTTTTGATAACAAAATCCTAGTTTGCGTTGCCCATTTATATTTCCACCTTGCGTAGATTTTTCATACAATCGGAATAGTTTCGTATCATCTTTTTCGATTCCAATTCCTTTTTGATAACAAACTCCAAGATTGCACTGTCTATTTATATCACTTATTGCGCAGGTTTTTCGTACCACCGAAATGCTACCGCATCATCTTTTTCGAAACCAACTCCGTTCAAATAACAAAGTCCAAGAATATTTTGCCCTAAAGTATTTCCACCCAATGCAGATTTCTCAGCCCAATAAAAAGCTTTTTCATCATCTTTATTAACGCCAATTCCATATAGAAAGCACAATACAATCAATTCTTGTCCTAAATGGTTTCCATTATTAGCAGTTTCATAGAGAAATTTGAATGTATCATTGTTTATATCACATACTTCTTTCTGAAACCCTTGTTAGAATAACTTTTGCTAAACGATTTTCATCTTCAGCAGATGTTATATAAACTTGTATTGATTTTTTTTCGTACCGATTCCATTACGATAACAATGTCCAAGATTACATTGTCCTAAATGGTTTCCGCCTTCAGTAGATTTTTTAACCATTCAAAGCATTTCGCGCATCCTTCTTTGTACCTATTCCATCTTTGTAACATATTCCAAGATTGTTTTGATCCCAATGATTTCCGCCTTCAGCAAATTTCGAGTGTAAAGAGAATTTTGAATTTAAAGGATTTTGAACAAATTGGTTCTAAACAAATTGATTATTGATTACAAATTGCCATTATTATTACTTTTAAAAAAGGTTGTCAAATTAACTTTATCAAAACATAACAAGCATAACTGAGATACAATTTCTACAAGGGAGCCTTCAGAACCTCTAAGAACTTTACGAAGTGCATTCGATTTTACCTCTTGTAAAAGAACATCAGTAACATTCCTGGTTATACGTTCTCGATCATGATTCTCCTCAACCCGCCTATTATGTATCACCTTTTCAAATGTGAAAGTACAAATTTATAAGAGTGACTTGCTTCATCTCTTTTCTTAACAAATTCGGTGCATATGTCTTTTATAAGTGGATCTTTTCTCAACTTTCGTATTCCAGCTCTTTCACCAGCAAGTACGTCGTAATCATCATCTGGTGTTTGAAGATAATCTGCACAAAATCAATTACATTATTTGTTAGTAGATCATTACAAGTTAGTCCACTCCACTTAATTTAGTAATAAGACGTGAGTTTTTTCGTTCTGTAAAAAAAGTTTACTGTTAGATTGTCTCAAAATTTCGTCGATAAAATACCTTGATCATATTCTTAATGCTAGCTATATTACTTGAAGCTTGGCCCTTCCAATTTACTGGGTTTTCAAAAATTTCTCGTAATAAGTTATCTTCTACCAATGATTTAAGTTCTTTTCAACCAAACCGAATCTGAAAAAAATAGCGGGTTACCAAATGCATTTGGAATTTATCTTTTTAATTGGAAAACCCCATTGGTCAGAACTTTCAATGGACCCTTAAAAAATTTTGCTGTCAAATGACCCACACATAGATAGCATCAAATGAAGCGGATTCTCGCTAGCGTTTAACCACTTACTCCACCGCACTGTATGGTTTGACAGCTATAATCACCATTCCAATATCATAGACAGATTAGTGATAGGAAAAATGCGCATGAAATATAAAATGCGCATGATACCGCATGATAAAAAAATTTTTTTTTTAAACTTATATCTTTATTATTATAATAATTCTAATAAAGATACTACATATAAATTCTTAATCAGATTTTGCCAACATACATAATTTTTTACCAATTTGCTAGTATAAATTTCATTGTTGCTAATCATATATAATTAATAAATTTAATTGTAAAATATATAGATAAGCATAATATTTGGAATCCAATCCTTAGTAATACTAACTAGGAATGCTATGTTTCAAAAATGTACTAAATGATTAAAGTCAGATTTCTAAATTAAAATGCTTAGAACTTAATTCTAATTAAAATTTAAACCTTAATGTTCAAGCTTAATCTTAGTTAAAATTTGTATACTAATTCTAAATTCTAGTAAAAATAAAAGATAGTAATTTACTACTAGTTAGAACTAATTATTTTCTATTTAAAATATTTTTAACTAATATAACTCTTATGATTCCATTTTAATTTTTTGAATTTTATATATGTTTTTTTAATTTTTTAAATTTTAATTTTTTTAATTTTTTAGTTTTTTTTTGTTTTTTTAACTTTTAATTTTTCTGTTTTTTTTTTATTTTTAAATACTGTTTTTTTAATTTTTTAGTTTTTTTATTTTTTTTTAATTTTTAAATGTTGTTTTTTAATTTTTTTTATTTTTTTAATTTTTTTGTTTTTTAAATTTTATTTAATATTTATATATTTGACTACTATTATTATTCTTAGTAATTTACTGTTTTTATTTATAAGATAAAATATTTAATTTTTTTAAACTATTTTAATTATTTTTTTCTGCAAAATAATTTTCTAGATACTCATCATTTTCAGAAATATAATCCATTGTTGTATCAAAACTTTTTTCATTTAAAGTATCAACTTCATTTTCAAGATATTCTAAATTATTATTTTAAATTATATTAGATTATTATTTATATTATTATTAATTATTAGTAAAATTATATACTTATCATTATTATAAGAATTATCTAAATAATCATTTGTATAATTATTTAGATTATTATTTAATTTATCACTTAATTCATCTAGCTCATCATTTAATTCATCATTTAATTCATCATTTAATTCATTATTTAATTCATCATTATATCTATTTTCTAATTCATTATCAAATTCATCATCTAATTCACTATCAAATTCATAATTTAATTCATCATTTAATTCATAATCAAATTTATTATCTAATTCATTATTAGAACTATTATTAGATTCATCATAAGAATCATCATTAAATTCATTATTTAAATTATTTTCTAAATCATTATCTTTTTCATTATTTAATTCAAGTATATCAGATATATTTTTATCTTGAATATTGTTATTTTTATAAATTTTTTGAGTAATATGTAGTAATTGCAATTTATAATTGCTATATATATATACTAATTTAAAAACTCTTGGTTTAGTTAATCTTTGTCTTTTTTTATTATAAATAAATGAAAAATTTGACCAATTTCTTTCTGCAGCAGCTGAAGAAATTGGAATAGATAATATTTTGCATACTGATTTAGTTAATTCAGGAGCAGATTCTTGAAAATTACCCTTCTACCACATTATTGGATCAATTTGATCTATTGATTTCCATACTAATTGATTATCAAAAGGTTTATTTTTAGTTTTATATTGAATAATTTGTTGCCAAACAAGTGAAGAATCATGTATACAATATTTAATAATAAAGTTTGAAATAGTAGTCATATAATTATTTGGTAATCCATGTCCAGCAATTTTAGGATTAAGAAAATTTGTAATTTTCATAACAGGAAGATATAATTTGATTTATCTATTTTTTAATATATATATATATATTTTTTTTTTTTTTTTTTTCTCTTAAGCAGTCACGCTAGTGCTTTATTAAGATTTTGAAATTACATTTGCAATTACATAAATATCCTTAACAACTAAG